GGCTTATCGGATTTTTTTTCCTATATACATATTATGAGATCAATCAATCAATCAACCAATCAATCAACCAACCAACCATTCATTCAATCAACTAATCAACCAACCAATCGACCAATCAATGAACCATATTTGAAAAATATTTGCAAGGCTTGTTCAAACTCGAACAAACACTTAACTATAATCATCTACAAACAATTTCGAGATTTTAGTAAAGAAAGAAAAACACAATAGTTGCTTTTATTAAATCAAGAAATATCCAAAAATTATATAACCAAATTTAAAAAAACTAGAAACCAGTCAACATTTAATAAATAAGTAAATAAATAAATAGACATTATTAAAAAGATTGTTCAAAAAGGTAAAATTTAAGGCGACGACGAGAATAAAATGTAGTTTGTTTTGTTGGTGTGGGGCTATGAAGCAAAAACAAACACATCACAAAAAACTAGTAAAAAGTCGCAAGAATAGTAGTCAGTCACCTACCTACAATTAAATTACTCTCAGGGCCCTAGCTTACTTATAATCATTAACTCAACTCACCTACCTACAAATATGTTTTTCTACGTTTTTGGAATTTTACATGTTTTAGGCATTTTATTTTACACATTTCAGTGTTTTTATTTTACTTGAAACTTTTTAACTAATGTTAAGCCCTAGCCTACCTATGATTGTTCAACTCATCTCAATCCCTAACTTACCTAGGAATAAATTAAGTCTGGTAAAGAAAATAGAAAGTTGAAGAGAAACATAACAACGACACCGAATGAATGGATGTTGTGTGTGTATGTGTGTGTGTGTGTGTTGTATTGATGTGTGTGTGTAAATGTGCGAGCGTGTACTCTCCAAAAACCTCTTCACTCACTACGGACGAACCTCCATTGCACCGACCATCATTTGACACGCATCGATGGAATGAATTTGACCGGATACTGATAAACATTAAATTGAAAAAAAATTATTAAAATAAAAAACAAGCCATTGGAAAAAAAGACAACTTATCTTATTGAGATGACAAATTCGAGTACTTTCAATGGTACGATGGGACAAGAACAAATTTTCTTTTAATATTATCTTCAAATTGTCATCGGAACGATCATCATGAGACCACCATCTGAAACATGCTGACGCCCACCACAGCCCACCTCTCATCATTCTGTAGAC